ATATATTGTTTATGTTTGTTTGTGTGTGTGTGTATTTTTGTGTGTATATATAAAATATATATATATATATATATATATATATATATATATATATCATGTCTTTAATTGTGTGTGTGCCATGTGCACATGTGTCTGTCCCAGAAAGTTGCTTCTTCCTCACTCCTGAGCACACTCCTGAGGATGGAAGAGTTGGCCTCACACCCTGCTCCTTCATTTGGTCCACCAGGCAAGAAGAACCCTGGACTCTCAACTGGAAACTTGGATCTGACTGGGGGTATCTGAGGTCATCCCAGAAGTCCAAAGGCAGAAAAGGCTGGCTGGGAACATTTTAGTGGATCAAGGCCTGGTATTTATAAGGGCTGGGACCCAGGGACATATAAGCAATCTTTGGAGGCCTCAGCACTAGCCGATGGGGAGCCGGAAGGGGACGCCCGACTTCCAGTCCTGGGGCCAATCGCCCAGGCTGGGGACTGTGTTCTCTGCAGAGCCCCTATCCAGAGCATGGAGAATCTTATATTCCCTGAGCTCCAGAAGCAGGGCTGGCTTTGACACAAGGCTGAGGTCAGGAAAGTACTACCATTGTCCCCACATACTCCTCCTCATCTCTGAAACAGGGCCTTAGAGAGATGGCTGAGGTCTGGCAGGAAGGCCAGCTAAGGATGTGTGTGCATGTGATAGGTTCTAAGGCTTGTTAAGGGAGTAGCCTGAGCCAACCTGACTCAAGGGGGGAGGAAGAGTGAAGACAGGACAGCCTAGCCATCGCCTTCTCTCCGAGAATCTGCACGTGGGTTCTGAAACATGCTCTTTACATTAAGGAAAAGTATCACATATCATATAAATAAAAGTGAACGGACCCCGTCACATGACGGTTCACCAACTTTCCTTTCACAATGTTAACTCTTTCAGGTCACAGGAAGGCTAGAGCTTCCTGGTTCATTTCAGGGTACTCACATGGGTGAGGCCCCTAAATTTAAAAACTATGTTGCAGCTAGGGAACTCCTTAACTTGGCACATGCACATTTTCAAAGGTCGGTTTTAAACACCCAACACTACTACTAAACTGCTGCATTTAAGAGCTCCTATTGCCAGGCGGTGGTCTTTGACCCCAGCACTCTGTTGTGCAAGCCTAAGGACCTGAGTTCAAATCCCAGCCTATATTGTAATTCCGGTACTCCTTATACAAGATGTACCCAGGAGATGAAAGAACACGGAAATCAGTGAACAAAAAAAAAAAAAAAAGACACCCTGTCTCAAACAAGGGGGAATAGGAGGACCAAAGCCTGGTTGTCCCCTTACACTCGTGCGCACACACATGCACTAGCATCACACAAACAATAAAAAATAAAACGTGAAAAATAAACCTTTAGGGTTTACAAATAAGCTAGAGAGACACATGTTAAAAATTAGCAACCTCTAATTTTATTTCCAACGCAGGGATGTAGAAACCAACTAAAAGTCAATTACAAGGTAGGGCTGAGCTATCTTTGTGTGTGTGCACAGTTGTCCTCCATACAGTATCCCCTTTCAAACCAACCCAGCGTAAGTCATAACTATATTTAGGAATTCCTGTTGAGGAAAATCTTACTGCTGGATTCAGAGCTGTAAAAAGGAGAGAGAAAACCCTCCTGCAACTGAAGTAAACTTGTCTTTAGTGCAGACTCCCCAACCAATCCAAAGCTCACAAGCTGCTATTTACAAAATTTAGACGGGGGGGGGGAGTGATGGGAGGAGGTGGGGGTCGGGAAGTCCAGAAACAAGCTGATTGAAGAAACAGGGCTGTAAATTCTCTTTACAGAAAAATGCAGTCTGTGGTTTCTTCTTATAGCACAGTCGGAGGGCAACGGGCAGGGCGGGCGGTGGCAAAGTTTTTGCCAAACACTGAAGAAAGACACGTAGGCAGA